ACAATGAAGGCAATTGAATGAAAAAGATTAAATTGAAGAATTATGGCTAACTTTACCTTTATTGTGTGTTTGAACGATCGAATAGACTTCAGTAGCACGAAATAAAGAACTTTGTAGATCTTTTGGGGACTGTTAGGCTAAGTTTCACAAATATCATTTTTTTTCCAAGACTGACTGAATCATGTCAGACTAGGATCCTTAATTAAATGGGAAACCGCCAAGACTCAGAAGCCGAGACACCATCTCGGGACACTATTGCCAATAAAGGACATTTATCTTTTACAGTCTAACATAATCCAACACAATAGAAACCACTCCAACCCATATATCCAGATAATTGGGTGGATCTGTTCCAGATAAGGCACAGCACAAGTAAGGAAACCAAGGTCTTAATTTCTCCCTTCAACTCATATATCCATGCCACTTGTTGAGCTAAAGGCTTTTGGGCACAAACTATATTTACTTTTCTATGTCAAAAGAAAACTACACGAGGATCCTCTTGGAATCCTAAAATTTCTAATTATTATACAATAACTCAAGCCCTAGAGAAATGTAGATTACTAAACCAATTACAAATATTTGGCTTAGGTGACAAATATTATTACCTAAAGCATAAGTTACCATATATTTGCTTCACAAACAACAATATATTAAATTTGCTGTTGCAAGAGTGCTTGAGGATAGGGGCGGAGCCATGTTTGGGCCTGACATCGCCCTCTCCTCCCGCCGCCCCCATCCCCAAAATTTTCCCATGCAATGTAGTATTTTTATGTTATGCTACGTGTATATTTGAGAAAATTTTGTGCTTCGAACATTTAAATATTTTTCCACTTAGAGCTTGAAGTTTTGACCCCCTCAAACTATAAATTCTAGCTTTGCTACTGCTTGTGAATCGCCTTCAAAAACTAAGTCCTCTAAACAGAGATATTTATCCCAAACGTAAAACCAATAGCTTTAACTTCCAAAAAAGAAGTATCTAACCAATGGAACTCATCCTGCAATTTTAGGACTTTTCACATGTGTAAGCCCATAAATACCAAAATATAGAAAAACTCTACAATACCCTACAACAATGACATAAGTGTTTTTTTTCTTTGTGAATAATAATGGTATTTCACACATCATTCAAATTAAAACAAATATTACCGTGTTTTAGATTTTTCCTTCAATTTGGAGCATCTCCAACAACCTCTTCAACAACTTTGAAATGCTAAAATAGGTGAGCCACATCATTAAAACCCTCTCCTACAGCCTTGTCAAACTCAGTCATCAAAATTGCAACCTCTTTCTCTCCCTTCAGGACTGGTAAGTTGAGCTTGGCTCTTCAAAACATTTAATTTCACTTTGGAAAAATAAAACCTACCTTGAAAATGTTAAAAACATGCATTTTTTTCTTCTTTACAATAAATACATAGACATTTTCCACACGTTTTCATATTTTTCATTCTTTTCCATAACATTGCATTAATTGAATTGAAGAGTTTGCTGGGGCACAAAATATTAAAGTAGAAAACAAAGCTTTTCAAATTGCCACGTAGGTTAACAAACTTCAATTTAAAGAGTTTGGTTTGCTACTACGGTTGGAGATGCTCTTATGGGTTTTAGTGTTTATATATAAATTCAATCCAACAGATAGGTTTTATTATAAATTTCCCATATTGGTATGATCATTTCCTAATAATAAAACCTTGAGCAGCCTTACTAGATTTTCCTGGGATGTGCAAGTGGAACAGACAGCTTAGTTTATAAAGAAATGAAGCATCTTATACACAGTAGTATACCTCCAATACGACACAAACGAAAAGAAGAGATCACATGACGCTTAAGAATCTTGGTGCTATAATATATAATTTCTTTTTCATTTATTTATTTATATATCTACTATTATTGTCACTATTTTTCGCCTATATATAATCAGGACCTTGTTGAGAGAAATTACACGATCAACAGTATCCAAGTAACCTTGTTTCTACCATTTGAGCATGGCCATGGGATCTTCAGATGTTGAGGGAGACAAGTACCGTTCTTATTTGAGGGGAGAAGGAGAAAAGAACACAACGTGGAGGTTTGGTGCCCCTCCTAGCTATGATGTTGTTAACAAGCTTTTTGAAGAAGGCAGAACCAAGGTCTCTCTCTCTCTCTCTCTCTCTCTCATATCTTTTTCCCTTTTGGGTACTTTGAGTGTGCATGGTGTCAACTATATAAAACATGTCTTGGATATGCATCATTTTTTTTCGTGGATGATACGGATCTCATGTTTCAGATATTTTCCCTAGACATCTAAATAATTAAATATCTGACCTAAATGCCAACGGTGTATAGCTTAGTGATAAGAGCATTTTCCTGCAGATCAGTGATCTCAGGTTCAAACTCAATGACAACCCCCCTTCCCTCTTCCGAACTTTGACAAAAATAAAATTAAAAAATTTGCCCCAAATTAACTCTGCATGGAACTATATGTATGTCAGATTTGGCCACCTGGGTCACTAGGAGAAGAGGTGCAGAACCTTGTGAAGACATGGGAGATGGAGGTTTTCCATAAGGCCAACCTGGATGATTTCAAGACACTTGATCCCAACAATTACACTTTCAGCCTAAATGGTAATAACTATACAGTGATACATTATTTAGTACTAATTAATTAATTAAGAATTGCAATAATCAATCATTAATAATATACATATCAGGAAGGAAAGGCTTAACTTTGGAAGAAATAGGCAAACTTGGAGGGGGCTACAACCCCTTGCTTCAGACCTCACTGCCTGAGAATCTGAGGGGATATAATCCAGAGAAGGAGACATCAGAGTCATCCCATAAGGCCTTCACAACAACATTCCCTCGTGGGTTTGCCTTGGAGATCCTTCAAGTCTATTCTGGGCCACCGGAGATTGTGTACAAATTCAGGCACTGGGGCTATATGGAGGGCCCTTTCAAGGGCCATGCCCCAACTGGAGAATTGGTTGAAGTTTATGGAATGTCCATTTTTACGGTACTTTCTCTCTAACCGTGCTCGACCATAATTCAAAGAGAAATATAACGATGATATATGGTTGGAGTTTTTTTTTCTTCTAACTTTTAATATTACATTTCTCTAAATTATGGTTATTGAGCTCCTTTTAGCTAGATCCTTGGACATGCTTTTAAGTAAGTGAAAAGTACAACCGGTTTTCCAAAAGGGTACAACCGGTTTTCCAACAGGGTCTAGCCCAGTGGAAAAAGACTTTGTAGATCAGTGGTCTCAGGTTCGAACCCCATGACATCTTAGTAATTATAGAATACTCCCTTCCTAAAAGTTCAACGGGTTTTGAGCATCATCATCTACTTATGTTTTAATTTCTGTTAATTAAAGAATTCTTTCTATCTGGAGCAAACAGGTGGATGAGCACAACAAAATTGTGAAGATCGAGTTCTTTTATGACCCTGGACAACTACTTGGAGGTCTTTTGAAGGGTGAAAAATTGGGTACTTCTTCCGAAGGGACAACCTCAAGCTGCCCTGTCCTGAGGACAGGGTAAATCTCCAAGTGTTCTATAAAACTTAAGCTAGCTAGCACCAATAATTTATGCCCATATAGGCATACACAGACTAGCTAGCTATGTGGTGTGGAATTATATCAGTCAGCTGTTTCTTGTATGTTTACGTTTCTGTCTATCAATGCTGAGAGTGTAATTCAAGAAATATATATTGAACTTTGTGGATTGCATGCTACAAAACTGATACATTTCACTGAAAAACATGGATTTACATGATTGGTGGAAAAACTTCCCTAGCACCCATTGCAGGGGCGAAACCAATGGGTTAACTAGGGGTGTGGGCATAAAAACCGATGACTCGAAAAAACAAAACCGAGCCAGACGTGTTAGAACTTCCACACATATGTACACAAAAGATACTAACCTTGAAAAGCCATTGAAACTAAATAGAAAAAGCAAATATATATATATATATATATATATATATATCTCTCTCTCTCTCTCTCTCTCTCTCTCTCTCTCTCTACACGTCTTATGCAGTCCTAAATCTAATATGGGGTAAGGTTTGTGCGTGTATTTTGTGTATGAGAGTGGGGATCTAAGCCGTAGCTTTATAGCCTTATCACCTCCAGAATCCCCAACCTGAGGATAGATATCCCTTGTTAATTATAGGACTTCACTTCACTTAGAAGAAACCGGCTAATCAAATGAAACCTTCCTCTTGTATATCCTTGATAGATTAGGTTTCCTAAATGGATATGTAAACTCGAATAAGTTTTTTACGTTGTCCCACTTGAGTACCACATCCATTTAAGAACCAAGAATCAGTTCCTTGTGTGCACATAATAGAAAGGCCACTTGATAACAATATATATCTCAAACTTAGTGACAAATATCATCAAATCAATGGACTACAGACATGATTTCCAGCTAAGATGGTATCATCCTCCTATAATCACAACAGGCAATGATATGGTTAAAATCACATCACAAGTGAGCTGAACTGTGAAGTCTCACACTAGTCATGCGAATGGTCCTCTTTATGATTACCGAGTGATCTAACCTTAATGAACAGTTCCTTAAATCAACAAAAACATCTTCAGTCATAGTGCCAAGTTCATTGAAAACAAGAGCTATCATTAAATCATCAAACTGAAATTAACACATTTGTCGTCTGTGAACGTCTCCCTTACAAGCAAATACTTGACATCCATATGCCTAACTCCAGAAGGCCTCTTATTATTCTTCGCAAAAGAATACAGCCCCATTATTGTCACAAAACAATTGAACTTGGTCTTTCTATGGAGCTAACCACCTTCGAGTCTTGATGCTAGGCTAGCCGTTTAACCCATCTTAAAAAAAATTATTTTCATATTCCAATAAGATTTTTGGCACCAGACTGATTGTGATCCATTTGTAATTAGTACCTAATTTCTTTTTTAAATGGTTATCGATCATCCTGCTATGATGAAAAATGAAAAATATCTCATTTGCTAATTCAAAATCTTTAACATGTTTTTTCGTTGTTGGGTGTATTGAGTATTGGCTCATTGCCTGTAACAACTCCCAAGCTTATGGCTCAACTTAATATTACATATAAAATCTGTCATTTCTTTGAACAGGTAAAACTATACAGAGGATGGATGAGATCATAGCTAGGGGTTTCTTTACACATTGTAGAAGCTTTAAATGGAATATGAAGACAACATTTCTTATAATTTGTACATATTTACATAACGGCGCGGTATGATTCATGTCTGTACACTAATTCTGCTTTTCTTTATTGTGTATGTTCCTCAGTTAGACTTCAACTTGTCCAAGTGATAAAATCTCTGCAAAATCAAGTATAACCAAACATATTAAAAATTTGTGTGGGCCAATAAAAAGAAGATAATTGGTGAATGCTAAGTGCTTGAAGAATAATACTGCACCAGAATGGAGTGGATCTGTTCCAGATAAGGCACAAGCAAGGAAAGAAAGGTCTCAATTTCCACTTTCAAGTTGTCATAGTTTTCATCTTTTGCCATGAGGCTACTAAAGAAGGTTTCATTGTCTGGGACTAGCATGAGAGCCACCTGCAAACATTATATTTGTTAGTCCAAGCAGAATTTGAAGCTATATGTAAAGCTTAACTTAGGTAGTTAAATTGGAGACAATAATATCCGTTTCACTTAAGCTAAAAGCGCTCATGGGCCAGTCTGGACCTTTTTACCCACGATTTAAACAAGTGTATTCCATCTAAGAAATAATGAATTTGAACTAAAGAGAAGGAAGTACTTTAGAAGCAGCTGATGAAATCCATCTATGCCATGGCTTCAAAGTGAGGTTATAAGACTCTTCCACTGCCTGCTTCATATTCTTCCCAGGATCTCTTAATAAATTTTGAAACAATGCCACGGTAAAATCAAGGGATCTGTATGTAAAACAAATCAATTAGTTTATAAGGAAAATGAAGAATCGTGTGCATATACAGTTGATAAATCCAAGGATATATGCACCTAAACAGTGGGTTATGTCTATCTAAGGTTGTTAGCATTTGCATAAAATGACAATTTTGATGAATATGTAACGTCCAACTCAAGAAATGTAAAAGGGGGCTGTTTCTTACTGGATCAATTATACAGTTGAGTGATGTGACGTAATTGAAACAATTGTTTAATTCTTGCTTACTTTGGCTGTCTTTCTAGTTTCCATTAAAATAAACAATAAAAATGAGGATTAAGGCTACGGTTGTACTGTCAACAAAACCTAGTCCAGTGAAAAAGGGTATTGATTTGCATATCTGATATCTCAAGTTTAATTTAGACTATCGCTTGTACTAAAAAAACAAGACTAAAAGTTGTACTAATAATGTCAACTTTGAAGATTAAAATTAAGCGATAAAAAAGAAAAAGATATTCTCCAAACCAAAACAAGAGAGCATACTGTGCTGCATGACAGTTCATACGTCATCTAAAACCATAAACTAATGCATATTTGCCGTCAATTAAATCAAGCTGACTTTGATTTATGAGTAACTGGAAAGGTAACGAATGACTAAGTACGAAATTAATAGAAATAAAGTAACCTGGGTTACAGTAGATTTGGAATAAATTATTGATTGTTGATTGTAATTAAATATTTTTGTCAAGGACAAGCACAATAATTAAATATGTTTATTAAATTACCTGATGAGGCAAACAAGATTACCTGGTGAGCCAAACGAAGGCCCTACTAGAACTAGTAACTTCTCTTGCAATGCCTTCGGTCGCCTCCATTTTCAACATCTCAACCATATTTGAATATGTTGAAGGATCAGATTCATGTTTCACTTCCAATCTCTACACACAGTAACAAATAAAATGGAAAATCCATTGCTATTGAGTAAGATGAAATTGATGTTTGCCGATAAATTTCAAGCAAGTAAAGCATTTGGTAATATAAATTCCAACATGAACACCCAATAGAACCGAGAAAATCATGTTTTCTTTACAAAGATATATCTTGTGAGATGAATCTAAACTATTTTCAATTAAATTAATTGTTATGAATGTGCATTTTAAATTTATGACAAGACATTGTATCATAAGTCTGATAAGAGAACATTACCCTGTATAGAGGCGCGTGTGAATGCATATTTGAATTGTTCATAGATATTGATTGAATAGATTACTAAAATATATACACAGATGCATACATCAATATATGTAAGCTTGGTTTTGCAATTACCCGAATATTCTGATGAATATCTTGCCTGAGAACAGCCATTGTTGGTCCAATTTTATCTGCAAAAAGGTAAACGACTATAAGGTTCAATGGGTATTCTCTCTGAGAGAGAGAGAGAGAGAGAGAGAGAGAGAGAGAGACCGAGAACTTGAAGAAGCAATCTGCAGAGAGAAAGGAAAGGCCTTGTTGGAATATGGCCAGCTTCGTGATTGATAAAGGCAGCATCATGATCATGTGCTTGATCATCAACATCACCATGTTCAGCAACTGGGACCAATGTTGCACTTCTAACTTTGACCATAACGGACAGTTCTTCAATGGCACACATAATCTCTGATCCTTTATTCTGATCCATTATCTTCCTTTTCATCTTGCTCCTCTGCAACTTCAAACTACTGCAGAAATGAAGTCGTCTTGGATTTATAGAAAGAGAGAGCTCTTATGTTTGCATCACTGCCGACGACTATCTTCTTGTCTAGGTCTTTGTGAGGCACGCTATGCCCCCCCAATTTGTTAATTCTTATTTAATATGGTGCTGATGAGAGCATGGCCAGCTAGCCTTGATCCCATCATTTATAGTTAATCTGATTAATTTTTTCCCATTATGTGGTTTCCAATATTTTTGTATTGAATTGTTTCTATTATATATATATACTCTCTGATGGTGACCTTAGTTTTGACCTGTCATCTTAAATAAATTTTTATTCTAAGCTTGACGTTGTAGTTATCATCTATATCCAGTGACGGATCCAGAATTTGACATTAGTGGGGTCCTTCACAAAATTTTAAAAAATAATTAGAGGGTTCTCATTTTATTAAGTGACTCAAGCATTGACCGGTAAATTAGTTAATACTACACTATAACTACTCGTTTTCGCCCACTTCATACTATCATTTCATATTGATTAATAATATATTCATTCATTACAATCATATTATGAATTTCAAATTTAAAAATGGTTGAAGATTAATCTCATCATCTACACTATTCAATCTCAAAAGAAATATGAAAAATATTCATAAATCCCAAAGGTAAACAAAAGAGGAAGAGAAGAGTTTTTAAACATTACGAGGAAAAACAAGCTACAAGGCAGAGAAACCAAAGCAAAATCACAAAAGCTACAGGGGGAGGAACAAATGACCCAAAACACCCAATTCGTGTATACATATATACATACATAAGTACACATCTTGTACACAATTGATTGTTAGCATTTTTTTTTTGGGGTCTAAATATCAGATTGTTAGCATAGAATGTGTATTTAGGAGATTTTTGCATATGACGAGTGTAGACAACCCCCTGTGTTATAGTCGTCACATAACCAACACATGAGAGTTATCATGTGAAAACCCACTAAACACAATAAACGAGCAGTTCCACAATGCATGACGGCTTACCCACACGCGTGGCATTCCTAGCTCATGAAGAAACGATAGGTGAAAAATTCTTTGATACGACGACAGATCAAGTCACTCGTCTGGCCATATACAGAAATAAGGAGATGCCTTGTATTTGGGTACCACATGGTGAATTCAAGCTATAAAAAAAAAAAAACAAAAACTTTAGACAACTAAATAATTAGTAATTGCTTTGTCTTCAATTCAAGTGATAAGTCGTGGTAAGGCATGTTTTCTCTTTCTTTATTTTTATTTATTTTAAAAGAAAACATAAACGTGTTGCGCCCGCGCTGTGTTGAAACAAATAACAAATCCTCTTTGAGGCATTTTATCAAACAGTTTGTGGACACCAACAGAGGAGCAATTTCCGACTCCAAAGCTTTTTTCACCGAAAGAAGGTGCAACTGCTGATTCCACCCGAATGCAAAACTTTCTTATTGTATGAGTGGCTGGCTGTGTGACGTTCCATTGCTAGATCAAAGAATTTCTTCAAATAGACAGACAAAGATAAGACGAGCATATGGGCTAGATTTTTGCCATTCTATTTTCATAAATATTTTTTTTGTCAAGTTTCAAAAACATTGTTTGAAGTGATCGCGAGTCTGTAAAATAGAGTAGAGAATAACGGTGATCATAAATAATTAGAAACATTATCTAACAGTCCCGATCTCTTATCATCAAAACCAAATAAGTTTCTTATCATCAAAGACATACATATAATTAAAAACAGGTTTCTGCCAATGTACACTGCACCTGCCACCTCTCAAATATACAAACTATATACCGATGCATTAATTCATTTAAGCCTATATATAAACAATATTTATCCTCAAAAGAAAGAGGAATATTAATACTCAGGTGACAATTAATATATTCGTTTTTCAACAATTTGTCCAATATTTAAGTTGTGAATAGAATCTATCACGTACGTATAGGACAGCTTTATCTAGATATATATACATGGAGCTTCAGTTGAGGGATTCTTCAAATAAGCTTATATGAGGGACATCCTTGTAGGGTCCACTCCATATTGTATTTCACTAATCCAAACTGTCTACGTTGTAGATACTCATTCAAAGATCATCTCTACAAAAAATCAATTGAATCAGATATCATTTGACCACTCAATTGAATTATTGAAAATTTAGTACTTTCTTGAAGCACCGTGTTCATTGATTTTGTAGGATACAATTGGATGTCGAATCGGTTTTTGATTTGTCTAATTTTTTGTAAGAATGATCTATGAATGTAGACTTAAAAAATAGATTGTTTGGATTGTTGAAAAAACATTCGTAGGAAACCCTAAATGGTGTCTCTCATATAAAAATTATTTGAGGAATCTCTGAATATAAGAGGACTGTATGTATGTGTATATATTGGTATAAAATATAAAATATAGAGAGAAAACAGATTACCGAACAAACAAAATGTAAATTATGTCCTCAACAGATTGCAGATGCAGCCAGAGATTTGGTGATTAAGGTCAAAGAGTATTAGCCAAAACCGCTCAAGGTTTTATTCAGGGAAAGAAGAGACCTAGCAATTATATAATTATATTTATGCTCACTTTTTGGTTTATCTTCTCTGCAGAACCATGGCCTACAAGTTCTAATTATAATTAGCATGAAATAATTCAGTGGAATCCTGGATTAAGCTTCTAAAGTGTGAACGCGAGGGATTCCTTTGAGTACCAAAACATTTTAAAAGCAGTTGAACTTGAGAGAGTTTCTATAGAACATTTTTCTGCATAATTTAGTAAGCATGATCCATGCTGGGCCAAGTCTTATCTTGCTATGAGCCCTTGTGAGATAGAATTTAAGTTATTTACACTAACAATCCCTGAGGTTTTCGGGTTTTCACAAAATTCCTTGAGATTTTAAAAGTTACAAGAACACCCCTTGAAATTTTAAATTGTTTTCACAAAACTCATTTTCATTGATTTTTCATCCAAAAATTGATGATTTTATTCCAAAAAAAAATTCTCCAAATGACAAAGTTGGCCTTTGAGATTAGATTGCATATACTTCATTGAGGTTAATTTTGTCATTTGCATGAGTTTTGTTTCAATGAAATCATCAATTTTTGGGCAAACAATAAATGAAAAGCGTTTTTATGAAAACAAATTGAAACCTTATGAGGTGTTCGTGTAATTTTTGAGACTTGAGGGGGTTTTGGGAAAACACAAGAAACCTCAAGGGTTGTTATTGTAAATAACTCTAGAATATATCCTTACATACATTATATTATAGGTGTTTTATCACGAGCCAATCAATCGGCTAATGAAATTTGTGCTTCTTTTCTTTCTTCTAATTCTAAATTTAGGCTGAAAAATGACAATGACACATTTATTACAATGGATTAGGACAAGAATTGGATATTTAGCACTAATCTTGTCTCGGGCCAAACAAGTAAGTATTTAACAATTAGACTAGGTAGGATCAGACAAGACTCAAATTAAAATTGGGCCTTAAATAACGTCAGCCTAAAATAAGACCCATATTTAAAATAAAAAACATGCGAGCCTTGAAAATACGATGTGTTTATAATGAGTGGTCTCTGGTGCGGGCTTATTCAAGAGGGTTCCTTGATAGCCTTTAGATCGTTACAATGATTTAATTTAAACATTTTCTTTATGCTATAACTCGGTTGCAGTTATCAGTTTTTAAAACCAACTTAGTGAGCGATAAGAGTGTTTCTCAAGTGAACGTGAACTGACTAAGAGCCCTTTCTCTCCGATCAAATTAGATTAAGGCACCCATCAAATCATTCTCAGTCTCTGAATCTCTCCTTTCCAATGACAAGCTCACCATTTTCATTCCCAACTAGCATACTTACTTCCCAAGCTCTCTTTATCAAAGGCATTCATTCATTCTGAATCTTAAGATATATCTTATGTGACACACCGACCCAATTTTAACCATTTATTTACTACATTTAATTTATTTAATCGTGAAATTACAATTTTCCCTTGGAGTAAGGTCATGATAGTCATTTTTCTACCCGTAAGGATTTTTGAGATTTGAGTGGCATCGTTGCGTAGAACTTGTTGATATAAGTTCGTAGATACGTAGTGAGCTCAAATCGGAGTTTTAACGAAGAAGTTATGGTTAACGGAAGTGCAGTGGCACAACCGTAAATATTTCAAGTCAGATTATAAAAATATAAAAAATATATAATATAAAAAAAAAACCGCACAGCCCTCTCTCCATCAGCTCTCTCTCTCATCCCCGACCCTCTCCCTCTAGCCGCACGCAAAACCGGCCACTGTGTGGCCGGTTAACTCTATCGTCCGACCACCCCAGCGGCTGAGACTGGTTGAAATTTGATCGTGAGGGGCCGGTGATCACGACCGAATGGAAGCCCAGCCACGACCGTTGCTTAGGGAGGAGTTGGGAGCTGGGATTTGGCAGCGACTGCCCCGGTTTTTCGTTGCCTTTCTAGGCAATTCTGGCCACCATTTTTGACAAACCAGGTGTGGATTTCAATCCTCTCTACGTCTTCATATCATCAGCACACTTCATTTGAAATGGACGTCTCTTGTCCAATTCAAGCTAGATTACCTTAAGTTTGGCAAAATAAGTGGAGAAAGGACGACCGTCTTGCTTGAGACAGGTAGCCTGGCACCACAGCTGGAATATATTAGAGCCATCATAAAACATCTGATTAACGGCATCCTAAACATCTAATTGTTAATCCAACTTTTCACAGTAGCATTAATTAGTAATTTTTCACTTCCCAAATTATGGGCCTTGGGAATTTGAGGCATCAGTGTCGCCAGTCAACTAACCCAATTTGCCTTGTGTAATAGCATGAAGTTCGATCATCGAAGCCCATATCTCATAGTTGAATCCATTCAATTTGAATCCCATGAGTAGATGAGTGGATGATTCAATGTGAACCGTCACAATAGGGGTATGAGTAGCAGTAGGGGAAGTACAACCAGAAGCAGGTGAAGAAATAAGGTCATCGATACTTGGCATGGTGATGGATGGCACGATGGCGGCAGCGATGGCAGTAGCAAGGTAGGCGGCAGTGGCAAGGTAGACACCGACAGCGGGCTAGGACCACATAGTAGGTGTATAGTGCAGTGGGAATAGGTAGTGTTTAGGGGTTAGGGTTTTTTATGTTGTAGAGATGGATATCAACCAACTCAAAAGTAATTGGGGTTTAAACTCATATGTTTATTCTTCTCTCAATGAAAGATATATATACTACATATGGAGTGGGTACAAATAGGAAATATATAAACAAAATCTCCTATGAACAAATACAGAGTGGGTACAAATATTTTAATTATAATAAAATAAAAAATCTATTCCTAATAGGAACATTCCCTTTGACTCATGCCAATAAATAACTACTTTATTTGTTTTGCTTTTACTTTTCTTAGGAATCATCTAAAATAACTATTTAATTTGAAGTTAATTGAAAAGGCAGCTGTGGGCTGTTATCCATCCTCCAAGAAAGTCATTCTCTGCTCATTCAATATAATCAGTTCAATAAATGAATTATGAACCATAAGCAAATATGTTTAAACCCATATTAATTACAAATAAAGAAAAATCTCAGAAAAAAAGAAAAAGAAAAAGCAAGATATACAGATTGTTTAGCATACATTTTATTTCGAGCCTGTTAACTTATTCTGAAGTACACATGAAGGAGGGAAAGAAAACACAGAGGAAGAAGAACAGATCTTAATCCGACCTTTTGACAAATCATCACTTATTAATCGGCCTTACCCTAACCAAGCATCCATATTATTATCATCAGTTTCCTCTTACAGGGAAAATTTAAATTTTGGTAATTTTCTTAAAAATGTATTTCAAAACTTGGGAAAATCCGGTAAGCAAAGGAAGCTGCATGAGGCCACACACTGGGACAGGAAGAAATGAAACAACAAAAATGAGGGACGTTGTCCATTTCTTTTGGGGATGAATCAAGAGCAAAATAGTAGCAGTGAAGGTGAGCATGGTGGTTATTAGTGAGCAGAACAGAAGGGTGAACCCCAAATGCAGCCTGAATGGAAGAGAACGATAAAAGTCTTGGTACTCAAGCGGCGATGCCAGGATAGAGAGAAACGTGACCAAAGAAGCCAATGAACTGATGAGCGAGACTGTGTCAGCAACGGCAAATGTGAAGAAGAAAGAAGAATGCCGGAGAACAGGAACCCCGTTTGAATCATTACCCCCGGGAGCCGTGTAGGCGGCTGCATAGACAACGGTGGTCACCAAAGCCGCCACAGTCGAACATGACTGAGCAGTCTCTTTTATCCATGTTTGAGCCGACTGAAGAAGTTTTGCATGCTCACTATTGAAGAGCTGCTCCGCTGTCTTCTCCTCCCTGTTGTGCTTCATGATGTAATGAGGTGAAATAATCTTTTTCACACGCTAGCCACACATGGAAAAATTGATGAGGCGAGGATTAATCATTTCAATCACCATGAACATTGCTCAAGTAACAAATAACTAGTTAATTAGTGGTATTTCTCTTTGTAAGGTCGGAAGATGTTCATTTTGTTTTATCAAAATAATTAATAACTAATAACTTCATATATATTTTGATTATCGTTAACAAAAGTGTTTTACTAGCCAACGAAAGGAAACAGAAAGTGACCCCCTGTTATGTAGTTTAGACTATCACTTATATTAAAAATAAATAAAAATGATTAAACTACCTACTCTATTGGGAATAGTTTGTATTTTAAATGCATCTATGTCAGTTTGGTGTAGTGGCACTGAGTTTCTATGCCTTGTTGGAGGAGGTATTGAGTTCAAAACTCATAGACGACAACATTGAATAAAGAAAATGCATGCATCATTCCTAGCTAGCTAGTATATGAACTTCAATTAATTACATAACTCATGACACACTCACCGCCATCCAACGCAATTCGTCCTGCAATTGTAACGCTGGCCCACCTAGGCGCTGAGTGTCTGCAGAGTAATATCTCATAGTTGCAGCTTGATGCAATATGGTGTTGCCATTGCGGTCAATCTTCATAGCCATCCTCGATGTTATTGATTTGCTCTTTTTTATAAGCTTAAAGATCTCCAACCAGCGATGCATAATGGCCACGTGCAAAATGTTTTGTTGCTCATCAATGTCGTGAGCCTCAACCGATTGAGGGTGTAACTCCAACATCTTTTTCACAATTTCTGATATTCCATTTCTAGCCGCTATGAGCAATGGGGTATAGTTCCTATCATCATCACGGCGAACATCATCTTCCCTTGATGTCATCCATGAATAGTCCTTTTCGACGAGCAAATGAGTGAGTTCCAAGAGTGAATTTTCATTTTGCATTTTCTCAAACATCGTACGGCTTCCTGGGCTTCTAAATCCTGGTTATAATCGTATCATGCATATTCAGTAGAGATATATTGATGAAGGGAACACAATGTTACTTGGATCCACTCAACATTGTATTTCAATCATCTAAATTGTCTATTTAGATCGTTGAAGTAAAATTTGTAATAGACCTCACAAGATGTCACTCAAACAAGATTATTTGAGGGATTGCTCAATAGAACAGGACGGAACAGAACTATATATACACTAATAAATATATCGCACACAAATATATATGGCCCATTTTGAAAGTTAGATGAATTACTCGTAATCTTCTTTGAATAACTAGATTGGCTAGGCCGATTGATCCTGCTCTCCAAGTCATTTGGTGGGATCCGATCAATATTATCATCATTAAAAAGGCCTGAATGTATATAAACAAGGGGAGCATAAGGATTAGCATCATCATTATCAGAAAAGCATGCATAAATAAAGGGATCACTATTCGTGCTCCATACAGTTATATATGTAGTATAATAAGAGAAATGCACTCCCTGCTCCTCTTGCACTTCGCTATGGGAGTATAAATACAGGTAGCCCAGCCAGGTAATCCTTTTAGGCTACGTATGTTGATTAGTACTTACGATTGGATTGGATAAATGACTCCACAAAATTAAAGGTATGTTGAAGTTAAAAATAGAAGTAGAGTTGAATGATTTTTCATTTTGTTGGGATTAAAAGGCCTAAGTTATAAGCTATGTTGATATCTCGCCATTTTATGGCAATCGGAAGACGTAAGTTTGGTTCATCAAAATATATATATATATATATAGCAGTATAGAGATAGAGTAGATGGTACATTTATAAATGAGCATCTTCCATATGCTTTTGCGAAATTTGGCTTGGAAGGCAGATGGCATTTGGGCTAGCAATTGAAGACTTGTCAGTCCATTGCTTTCCTTTCTGTCCGCAAGATCTGGGTACTCTTTTAGTAACCAAAGAGCAGTCTCTGCATTGAAGGAAAACCATGTTAGTAATAACCATCTATTTTCTTCAACGATCTAAATCATTTATTTTTTAAGTCTACATAAGTCAAAGATCATTTTTGCAAAATAAGTAGAAAGTAACGCAATTAATTTCAAAATTTGAAGAGAGATACCAAAATTTTGGCCAATGACTGCGCTATGAAGAATGGATACTTGATCGCTACTTCTTTGCAAGTGCGGCATTATATTTATCTGGCCCACTTTTTTGACCAAATATTGGACCAACTTTGTGTGGCCGAAAGAAGCGGCCCTGTAGACTGGGGTCTCTCCTAACTGGTTTCGAATCTCTAACACACCTTCATAGCGAACATCATCTTCCATAACCTCCGCAAGCTTATCCCTAACGTTGTTATCCAGATCCACCAAGAGCACTGCGGCTTCCAAATTTCCGGACGGCGCCACCTCATGTAGAGTGGTGTTGCCATGCCTATTCTTCATTGTCAACGCACGGCGTAACATCTGAGGGTCTCTTATCAGTGAAATCAAAAACTGCAGCACGTCCGTGCGTCCAATGAAGGTTACAAGGTGAAGTGCATTGTCATTGTACGTTGTCAATGGATTAAGTACTTGGGTTGGATTATCCTTGTAATATCGTCTTAGGCTTTCCCAGTCCTCGTACATGGCCCATCGGTACGGCCCTTTCATTTGATCCAGTGCCCTTCTCTCTCTTTCAGCCTCATGAATCTCTTCCATGGGGTCCTTGGGCGAAAAACTGGTTCAACTTAACCCAATTTAGGGGCTTCAACCCGGTTAAAAATTGCGCTTTAAACCGGTTGATCAAGAGTTTGTCCCAGCTGTTTTTGGATTAATTGGCTGATCATTTATCCCAAACCAAAGCTTACTAATTCATTTATTTATTGCCATTATAAATAATAATTCCCTAGTTTTAACTAAGCCCTTGAGGTTGAGACGACTTGACTTGACTAAGCCCTCGTTTTGACTAAGCCCTCGTTTTGACTAAGCCCTTGAGGCTAAGCCTCAAACTCCTCCACATTTCTTAATGAAAATCTAATAAAAAACCCTTGAGATGACTGAAAGGATAATGCTCCTTTTTGTTTTGCATATTCTCCGTTTCTTCCTTTTTCTTTCTTTTAATATTTACTCCTCATTTTTCGGGCTATTATATTTTCTGAAAATGTAAGTCAACCATAAATTCAAATTTTATAATTATTAGTATAACGAAGTTTGATCCTGAAACCCACTTGTACTTTTTAATGAGAAATGTTTTATTAGGATTTTAGACTAGTTGACTGTAATTCATATTGGTGAGCAGTATTCGCACGGCACCGCACATGCAAGGCACTCTATTGTTTACACGCATTTCTATAAGATGCCCCTCCTTGTACCATATAAATTCAGGTTTTAAAAAAAACAAAACAAAAAACAAAAGAGTTTAGCAAATGGCAGCTTCAAGTGCTGATCAGAAAGATAAATATCGTTCGTATTTATATGGAGAGGGAGAAAAGAACACCAAATGGAGGTTTGGTGCCCCTCCCAACTATGATGTTGTTAACAAGCTCTTCGAAGAAGGCAGAACCAAGGTCTCTCTCTCTCTCTCTCTCTCTAAATGTGTGTTTATTTTAGTAAGAATTCTTCCTGTAGCATGTTATTATATATTCTGATTAAAGTATCATATACTTTGTAATTAATTGAAGATATGGCCACCTGGGTCACTCGAAGAAATGGTACAGAACCTTTTGAAGACATATGAAATGGAGCTTTTCCACAAGGCATGCGTCGACGACTTCAAATCAATAGATCCAAAAAAGTTCACTCTCAGCCTAAATGGTACGTAAATATGTGTACTCTTTAATTATTAGCACAAGCTAAGGAAATTTTACCAGAGAAAATCATGAGTTCAAATCTCGCAAAAAGCGGTACTTGAATAAGATGAGATGATAGAAGAAATAGCTTTTTGAAATTTGTGTTAGTACTAATTAATTCACGTTTTGAATCACACATAAAATTTACAGGGAGAAAAGGATTAGGTTTGGACGATATAAAGAAACTGGGTGGAGGCTATAACCCATTGCTGCAGTCGTCTCTGCCAGAGGAATTCCAGATCTACAAACCATCTGAGGAAACAGCAGATTCATCTCATCGAGCTTTCACCACTACTTTCCCTCGTGGCTTTGCTGTGGAGATCCTCCAAGTCTACTCTGGGCCACCACAAATAGTTTACAAGTTCAGGCATTGGGCTTACATGGAGGGCCCTTTCAAAGGCCATGCCCCTACCGGAGAACTGGTAGAATTTTATGGCATGGCAATTTTTGGGGTACATACCTGGCCAAGACAACCATTTATCATATTCGCGAGTGCTAGTATCAGTCTCCCATGGGCATTCCACTTGTATAAATGGCCCAATATCATTCACATACACATGGATGACTGATGCGGGTAGCGTGTGTATAAATCATTACTCACGTACTACCTTGTTTTGCACTGATATTAACATTAGTCACTTATATATGTCCTGCATTATTCACACATATCTAGCTATATATTATAATTATGATCGTTAAATTGTCTCTCTACTTATCTCTTAATAATTTATTTGGTCTAAACAGGTGGATGAGCATATGAAAATTGTAAGTGTGGAGTTCTTTTATGATCCCGGAGAACTTCTTGGAGCCCTGGTGAAGGGTGCTAAAATTGAAAATTATGCTGGAGAGATGACAACAGGTTGCCCTATCCTGAGGAGCACAGGGTAGCTAGCTACCTGCATCTGGAGCTCCCATGAGAGAAGCAAACATGAAGCACATGGGTTAAGATCGCTAGCTAGCTAGCTAGAACCGGAAAACCTTGTAGCATATGCGATTTGAATAAAATAAAAATATGACAGCTGCATTGCCACATGGTATGGTCGGTGCAAGTATGTTAATATCAATAAATATTTTCTACTTATGGTCTGATATCAATAAATATCTATTTATATTATAACACGTTAACAAGCGTTGTCAATGACCATATTCCACATTATAATTACTCGTCCCAAGCCCAACTGATCAGTATAATTGTCAGTTCGAAGGATTTGGCCACCAAATTTTGTTGTCTATTTTTATTTTTTTAAGTGTCGTGGTTTAAATACAAAGACTACTTTTTTTTTTTATTGTAACAAAAACTACTAAAGTGCAAAACAATGCTAAAACAAATTTTTATTTTTATTGTACATTGAAAGGTTTCAACCCATGATCTATTCTAATCCTAACTCATTTCTCTACCATTTCTCGTTACCTAATCCAAAGGATTGCCACGCTAAAGAAATTTAAAGTAGGGAGTCTTGATGATTTATTGTTATAATTAATTGATTGGAGCATGAAATTTATGAACCAAAAATTTGATCCGTTTCCACTTTCAACTTTGGAAACTAGTTAGATTGGTAACTGCTGACAAATTAATAAGGTTTTAGCTAATTACATTGATGAAATCCGCATGCAACTAGAGAGAGAATCAACTGATCGAAATGCATAGTATTATCAAGGAGAGATGTCTTTCACTATACCCTGAATAGATCCTCCTACCCCATCGATCAGCCCATCATCCGCACATGAGATTTGGAAGGCCTTGATTACTAAAAGAATAGATCCCCTTACCCGATGCTAAACTACAAATCTTATAACAAAAATTATCATCACCATGGCGATATGACCTGAAACAGAAAATTAGCCAGAGTTTGATAGATTTTCACTCAAAGTAAACAAAGTCACCAAGAAAAATATATACTTTTATTATTATATTTTTAAGTAAACCTAATCAGGTCATATAAAAGGTTTAGCAAAGGACGTCGGTAACTATAATATAGGGAGTTTCACTAAAACACCCAAAATGGGGGTTGAAATTATAAAAAAACCCAAGCACTATTTAAACATATAAACACACCCAAAACCCATCATTACACACACTCAAAACCCATTTATAAACACACCCAAAAAGTTGACTTTGGGGTTGATTTTGGGTGTGTTTCTATGTTTAAATAGTGCTTGGGTTTTTTTATAAATACATGTCTAGGATTGGGTTTATTTATAAATTTGTATATAATATAAAGTAAAATGAAACACATGAATTTGAAATTCTTTGATGATTAAAGTACGTGTAAGGGTAGATATAACTATAAAAAAACCTTACAGTATATATTAACCGTTACCGTTATGATGGTAAATGTTTCAAATTAAAAGAACAAGGTGTAAATTTAATTATTTTTATGATTAATTGATTATATTAAGAGTATCTCTAACCGAGATGTTAAAATGACATCACAAATTTTTTTCAACCGAACAACCTATTCTAGGTGAAAATGAAGGCTAAGACTTTGCTGTCAAAATTGACACCAACTTTTCTTGTCATTTTATTATTTTATATATACTTTTTTTTTTAATAATAAATATAAGTTATAGTCTCACAAGGAGAGTATGTATCATTAGATGAGTAGTTTTGGTAGCGTCAAATTATCCAAATACGAGAAGAATAGTAATAGGACGGCCGCCAATACGGACCGCATGGATGACAAATTCATTTTGGTTACTCCCCCAGAATTTGCACACAACTTTTGAAACCTTGGAATCATCTTTCTTCTTTGTTGTTATTGTTGGACTCTAAAAACAAAATAAAAGTATGAAACTTTGAAGCATCAACTACTGCCAGAGACTGGCTTCTCTACTATATATGCTGATTTAGTTCGCTATCAACTAGCAGACTAAAAACAACAATATCAATCACTTTCAAATTTGTCACTATTTTTGTTGTTCTGTTATCCAGTGTAGATCAACGGGGTCTAACCCAGTGTAATTTGCTATCTACTAAAAAATAATAATAATAATAATTTGATGAAAAAACACAAACTCTTTAATCCTGCAATATTTAATATTAAATTCCTCCTTCCGCTTACATATATATGCCATCATATACTAGAGACTAGTAGTAGTGGAATGCTCAGTAATATGAATTTGATACCAAGGCTATTCTTTTTGTCGCCTAAGTTATATATTTAAGGACCTCTTTGTAAGTCAGAGTACTCAAATTTCTAGGTTCGAAGAAGCTAAGATGGCCTCTTCAGGAGTTAAGGGAGACAGTTATCGTTCCTATTTGCATGGAGAAGGAGAAAAGAACACCAAATGGAGGTATGGTGCCCCTCCTAACTATGGTGCTGTCAACAAGCTCTTTGAAGAACTCTCTCTCTCTCTCTCTCTCACACACACACACACACACGCACACATCATAATATTTATGTTGAAGATATCTGATTTTTCTTTTTCAATTGGATGGAAGATATGGCCTCCGGGATCACTAGAAGAACAAGTGCAAAACCTTGTAAAGACATGGGAAATGGAGATGTTCCATAAAACAAGGGATGAAGACTTTAAAGCAAGTGATCCTAAGAAGTACACTTTCAGCCTAAATGGTAACTATTGTATCACCAAATATATTAAGACTCATCATTACACTGTCCAAAGTCCTGTTTCCATAAATTGTGCTTGTAACTTACAGGAAGGAAAGCTGTAAGTTTGGAAGAGAAGCGAAAGCTTGGGGGAGGCTACAACTCTTTGCTGCAAACCTCATTGCCAGATGAGTTCCGGTGCTACAACCCGGCAGAAGAAACGGTGGATTCAGCTCATAGGGCTTTCACAACCGCATTTCCGCGCGGGTTTGCTCTAGAGATTCTCCATGTGTACTCTGGTCCTCCACTGATCGTATACAAGTTCAGGCACTGGGGTTACATGGACGGTCCTTTCAAAGGTCATGCCCCTACTGGAGAAAAGGTTGAACTCTTTGGGATGGCAAACTTTGAGGTAAACAAATCTTCTTGCCTCACATATTATGGTTCTTTTCTCTAGCTACTTTTTCATGGAACTTATCCATCAGAATTTGTTGCAGTTGGATGAACATGGGAAAATTGTGAAGGTTGAGTTCTTTTTCGACCGCGGAGAACTTCTTGGGGGGCTTCTAAAGGGAGCAAGCTTTGACAGTTCCAGTAAAGAGGCAGCCTTAGCTTGCCCATTCTTGAGGAGCACAGGGTAGCTTCACAAGCAAACTGCCACAATGTAATAATATGGCACTAGCAAAGCACCAATGAATAATCAATGCCTAGATTGGCATACAATGCGTACTTCACCCCTATGGGGTTTTGACATTGACATTTGCTCTTTAATTTTTCAAGGACTCGATATCATATCAGTATACATTTCTTGCAATAGAGCATAGAATATTTCAAGTAAAAGTCCATGGACGGTGGATGCCATGCAAATCTGCCACAAGTTAACTTTCAAGGGTGATTAAAATTGATGTTACATCAACTTGAAAATGTAGAGAATACCAACCAAAACGTTGCCTCGACTTGTTGAGATATCTTGGAACTACAAGGCTATAAAGAGCCATCTACCATCATTACTTCATATAGCGCCCAAAAATATATTTCACTAGACCACTGAAAAATATTCATCTTTCATATACCTTTATATTGATTTAGAGATACTGTTTAGAAAGAAAAAAAGAAGAAGATATTATTGTGACTGTTAGGTGGATCCTTCTGTTTTATAGATCAAGGGCTATAGATAGTATATTCAGATTGATTTAACTCTTAGGCCAGGGAAGGGACCCTGGATAAGGATCTGTCCCGCAATATCTGAAAAGACCTTCAATTTCAGGACACCCATTTGGATAGGGAATAGACCGGTGAAACGGATCACGCCCTAGTTTTTTATGGTAAAGTGAACCTCGACAGCCATATGGATCATCTTGGAATTGAGCACGCACAATTGCTTCTCCTTTTCGAGCTGCTTCTTTTGCAGTAGAAATTGCTGGGGTACCGGCGTAGAAGAACCTCGACTCTGGAAAGCCAATTGCAGACCGATGTAGATGTGCAAATCTCTCCTCCTTGAAATCATAACTAACAACCTGGTTTACAACGAGTCATGTTAGATTTTAAATTACATTGTTGGTTCACATCCTAACAGCATAAGTTTTTAGAACAATGGTAAACCAACAAACTCCATTATGATATCAAAGCAGGAGATCCTGAATAATCACATCTGAACATAAGAACGAAACACAGATCCCTAAAATACAAATATTCTCTTTGTTTTGTAGAATTCTAAGATGTATTGCGATCTTGTATGGGATATGCAAACATTCTCATAGCCAGTTTATCTTGATCATCTGGATAACTTTGCATAAATCATCTAAATAATCACATCTGAACATGAATGTGCAGATTAACAAAATTTCACAGTAAATTCATGATAATCACATACATACGTATGCGTAAGTATACCTATATGTGTATATTGGTGTTCAGCCTAATAGGCGCTCTTTATGCTAATGGGAGCTCAATTGTCTCTATGATATTTTCATCCATCATGCCTGTATTTTTTATTTAAACAGGACAAACAAATTTAGAGTAGAATGGGCTTACAGTTATATTACGAGGATATGTGCCAGTAAGTTCTCGGAACCGGCACACACTGAAGAGAAGATTCTCAAAACTGTCCCTTGCATGCTCTTCTGTGAGTGTCCTCGATCTCAAATCTTCTTTGCCTAAAGAAGCCATCATAGCATAAGTTGTACACGAGTTAACAATCAATAAAAGACAGTTCAGACCAACATGCATTTAAACTAAGGTTGAACAATCATGTTTTCTTAACCTTTGCAAAAGCAACTAAAAACTTGTCACTAAAGAGAGAGAAGTTAAAAATAAAAAAAGGAAGAACAAAACATTACAGTACAATTGCTTGTCTAGCATCTATTACAAACAATGTAAAGAAGCATATAACTTGAAGAATACCGCCGGAAGTAGTTCACGCACAAAAAATAACAAGAGAAGATAAAGTGAAAGAAACAGAATAAAAGAGAGAAAAGATTATAAAAATTAATTAACTCCCCATGATCACCCCAATATGTATATGATTTGCCAAAACACAGAGTATTGCCTGTAGCCATAATTTTTATGCAACTGAAAACAGGAAAACTTCTGCCATTAGACCCAGAATGATGAAATCGATGAAAAACTTGTAAACTTACCATTCTTTGTTATAGTAGCTTCAAGAGTGGAAGAGAACAACGGTGGACCAGAGTGGAAATTGACTGACATTTAGACAGAAGGCAACAGTGGAAGTGATAGACCTAGAAGGAGCGAAAGGTTAAAGTGGTTTAACGTGGTGTTGACGGTGGAGGAGGTGAAGCCAAAAGGGAGCTGTCGGTGGTAGTAGTCAATTTTCCTGGAGTGTGGTAATAACTACAACAGTAATAGTAAGGGTAAGCTTGGGTAGTGTTCGCACTCATAGTTGCAAAGTCTTGTGTTCTTTTTCCTTCGACAGTTCTCCATTAAAGAAGCAAGAAATACTATTTAGACAGTTCTCTGTAACTCTGTTTCTGCAATTTATGACAATACTACTGTTATCTTTATAACTTATTTGATGGCTATTAATCCTTGTGCAACCAGAATATGCACGATAATTCCAGTCCGACGGAAATTTCCATACCATACTGTCAAATGTGTATTATTTACAGATATCCAAAAGAGTTCAAACATACATACTGCTATTTTTAGTTTTTTCATATGACATTAAGGTATTCATCCAAATATGACAAATGAAATCCAAGCAAGACTCAGGTAAATCTAATACGAACAGTACACAACTTGCATGTACTGTATATCTCTTCCCGGGATGATTTCCACTAGTAAAGATATCACTTAAACTCCAGAGCTCATCTTGAAACCAAAACCTTTATAGAAGTTGCCAATAAAGCATTCAATGCTAAAAACTTCAAGGAATTTATCATTTCACAACTTGTATATTTTGGTTTACCTTGTTAATAGCCTTGTCAACAAAGAGAAATTCCATGCGCAGTTATTAGCTTACCCTTTTGACCGGAAATTCAAGTTTGCCAAAGGCCTTAAGTGAAAATAATTTATACGATCAACATGACAGCTTTGTCACGAATCATCATGTTTCCGGAAATTCATGTCAATATAGTATTTAGATCAATCAGCAGTAAACTCACGAATTTGACATTTAAATTTGGTGTATATTGTAACAAACTAGGTTGCTTAACCTTTCTTCTTTGGCACTTCTATAATAAACTGAACAAAAATTGCCACCAGCAAGGACTAAACATCTCTTTTTGTACTTTTCTATAAACCTCTTCTATCAAAGGAGGACTAAAGCAGTACATCTCTCTGTCCTGTTTTTTCCTCTTAGAGTTCTACAAATGAATTTCTTCAAGTTAAATTTTGAATACAAAACATTACAAATGCAGCATGCTTTGCCCCGAGATGCATGAATACAAAAAGAAGAGTAGTTCCAAACAAAAATTCCGTTGTAACTTAATACCTTGCTGAAAATTTATCCAGGTTCTAGCAAAACTTTAGGCCATGCTTCAGGCCACCCAAAACACACATAAGAAATTATTGCCATAAATACTGTACATTCACAGAAACTGCATATAATGGACATAACACCAAAAAATGAAAACAAAAAAATCATAAACAATCAACTACATGAGAACCATTTTAAACAGCATCCTATAGATCATGCTTCATACAATTAGCAGTCCATTAAGTCTTATATTAAAAATGAATCATATTTTACACAAGCCATACCAAAACATGTCTAATACGAGAAAAATACAGTAACTCACCAAACCATCCTTTTGATTCAGCAACTGCCCAATAACTCTGTGCCTCGCTCCGAGGACCAGCATCTCTTCGAGTCTCTCCACCACTAAACAGAAGCAAAGCTCTATCGTCTTTGGCTGCGACTTCAATTCCCTCTTGTATATGCGCCACGAAAGTTGCAGCTTGACCTGGATTCTTCTGATAAGACTCCAAAAACCAAGAATCCTCCTTATCAACTTTTCCACAGCTACTGCTAGTATAAACTGAATGCCCGGCAACCATGACTAGATTCTGAAGATTCGGCAACGGATAACTATTCGAACCCATGTCAAATTTTTTATAGCTAGCCATCATTTCAAACCGGCTCTCATATAGAGAGAAAAGTAAGAGAATTGTGACCCCAACTGACAAGGAGATGGTGAAAACTAAAAGTGGGTGCAGCTTACAATAATACTGAAGGCGGTTTCCAATGGACCTAATCATTTTGATGGGTTGCAATGGTGAATGCCTATGCTTTCTGGTTCTTCTAATGGTTCCAGATTCTAAATCAAAGTCACCTCTTGGGTAGGCTGTGAAGGATTTAGGACTGCCAGACCGAAATGGATAATTGCTCATTATAGTAAAAATCCAGCTTACGCGGATATAAATGAATAGAACAAACCATGCCCAGGAGAAAATTTAGAACAAAAAATTAATGGTGATCATGAATTTCATGATACAAATACAGAGCAATATGAACAACTACACAGGGAGATCAACCAATTTCCACATAGAGGTTGCAACGCATCAGTGGAATTTAAAAGTTTGCAGCTTTAATGAGAATCAGAGGGATTTTCGAACGGATTTTACAACTGAATCAAGCACAGGCTGAACCACAGAGAGAGAGAGAGAGCTCACCGAAACTGGTGTCTGTGAAATTGTTGTGTGCGCTTCTAACTGAGATGAACATTCAGGTTTCAGTGATTCTTTTGTTATTCAAATACAGGGAAGATCCAGGCTTTAGAGGTTTCCTTGAGATTTGAATTTGACTCTGATGGAGGAAAAAGAAGAAGAATTTTACTCTGAATGTTCATTTTCCTTATTTCTATTTTTCAGATTTGAAACATTTTCTTTTAGACCAAGGCCAAAGGCCATTTTTTGTACACGTAGTTTGGCACTTCAACCACTTTTGACTATATAATTTCAATTCTATTAATTTTGCCATTGTAATTTTATATTTGTAGCAATTCAAGGACATATTAGTATTTTTGTTAATTTCTTTAATGATGCAAGGAACAATTTCGTCAACCCAAAACCCTTGAGCCTAAAGGTTTGTCTGAAATTATCTCAATTTCATATTAGGGCTCGAAATTCAACCACTAATCCCAATTTGTGAAGATCCATAAACCCAAATGACCGAATGACTAATTTCAAACCCTAATATGAAATTAGGGGAGTTCTAGACGAGCTTTTATGCTCAATAATTTTGGGTTAACGAAATTGCTCATTGCAACGTCAAAGAAATTGATATGAATATTAAATTGTCATTAAATTGCTATAAAAACGAAACTACAAGATAAAAAAGGATGAAATTGAAACTATAGAGTCAAAAGTGATTGAAATAATAAACTATAGGGACCAAAAGTGACTTTTAGCCTTTCTTTTTTTATTTATTTTTCACTAAATTTGAAACATATTGCTTAATTAAACAAAATTTGTCTAACGTAAATGTGTATATTATTTATTTTTCTTTTGAAAGAGTTAATGTATCCAATAAAAATTAGTTGCCATCACCAAGTTGATTTTATAGTGTTTAGTGAAAAATTAAACTCTATTACAAAAAAAAATAATGATAATCTCGTACCAAGGAAATAAGCATGGAATAATTTCGTGAAACCATTTTAAATCAGTTAGGTTTTGTTGAGAATTTCTCCATCGGTTGGCTGTTTTTCCACGTTAATTTTTAAAATATTTTTATTGTTTTATTGCCCAATATTAAAGGGCCAAAACACCTATTTTTAGGGTTTGTTTGATTCGCGGGTTGAACTTCTTGAAAATAAATTTTTCATGTCTAATCTAGCTTTTTTTGTCTAATCCCGCAAAATGAGAGTGGTGGATGTAATTTTGCGTACCAATATAATTTTCATACATTATAACGAGATATATCACATCTAAGTTTTTTTTAAAACTTATTTCTTTTCTTAATTAAACTCATTTTATTATTTACTATTTTTAACGCTTTAGTTTTATTTGGAAATCTAGTGAAATTCAACTTTTAATTGTCCCAATCAAAATATAATTAATTTTTTCTTTTTTATGGAAGAAAATATAATTAGCCTGACTTTGGTTTTATTGGGTGCCCTACTTATACACATAAAAAACCCTAATTTTCCTCCTCCCTCCAAAACCCTAGCTCATAACAAACTCATACCTCAGGCGTTCCTTGAATCCATGGCTACCAGTAAGTCTTTCTTTTCTTCATCATCGTTCTGCGAATATTGTTCTTATATTTGTTCCTAATAATAAATAATGAAAAATTAATTGGGGCTATGAAGGGTTGCAATTCGAGAACTCGTGCGAGGTTGGGGTGTTCTCGAAGCTGACGAATGCCTACTGTTTGGTTTCCATCGGAGGCTCTGAGAATTTCTACAGCACATTCGAGGCCGAGTTGGCAGATGTCATCCCTGTCGTTAAAACCTCCATTGGCGGCACTCGCATCATTGGCCGCCTCTGTGCTGGTATTCGTTTCGTTTCAATTTCTTTTGATGTGCTTCCTATTTGGTATTATTCTAGAATTAAAATTTATGGATATTGAAAAAAAGTATTTAAATTTCAATTGCAGGAAACAAAAACGGGCTTCTTTTGCCTCACACGACCACAGACCAAGGTTTTTGTTTTAATCTTTGTGTCTTCCTCTTTCTTTTTCTTTTGGGTATTTCTGTTTGATGGTTTTTTTGTTTGCTGTTTTGACTTATTGAGCTTCTGTTTTTATTGAAAATCAAGAACTCCAGCACTTGAGGAACAGTTTACCTGATCATGTTGTTGTTCAGCGCATTGAAGAGAGACTATCTGCTCTTGGAAACTGTATTGCTTGCAATGATCATGTTGCTCTTACACACACTGATCTTGACAGAGTATTTTTTTTTACTTTATCCGAAGATTTTTTTTTGGTTATTTCCTGTTTAGCGTTTACTTTCCCTTGCAAAAAAGGAAAGAAGCAGAGTTTTTCTGTGAATTCAAAGCAACCCCAACCTTTCTGGAATCATAGGAAAATTGGAAGGCATCATACATCTATCCTAAAATCAACTCTGTTTAGCATGTAAAAGTATTCACTGGTTCCTCCTCTCCCCACACCCCCCCCTCCCCTCCCTTCTCTCTCTCTCCCTCCCTCTTTAAGGAAAATTTGGTTAATCTCACATGCACGTGTCATGGGCCATTGGGCTTCCTACTTTTTTATGCTATATAGACTTGTATGTAACTATTGAGAGTGATTATATTGTGTTATACATGACTATTCAGCAAAAGTTTGAATTTGGTTCAGAAGCAATATGTAACTTTGCTCGTTAAAGAGGAATTGAATAGGTGATACAATTTTGGTTCCTCCACCAAAGCCATTTAAACCTTCCAAATTCTAAGACTTTTAAAGCTTTTTTTGGCATTTTGACTGTAGAACCAATTCTTTGGAAATGTTCTAAGGTGAGGTTCTCAAGCTTATATATGGGTTGTTTGTATGTTTTGACTGATATCATATGGATATGTGGCAAGCGATGTTTCATGTGCTTGTTGCAAGCAGACTTTGGTTCTCATATGAACTTAGAGCCATGAACACCAATTAAAGAGAAACTCAAGATCTTGATAAGTAAACAAAGCTGCAGTGCAACTGTGCAACCACCCTTTTCCATTTAGAAGATGACATAAACCTTTTGAATTCAAGTAAATTTAAGATTGCCTCTGCATTTGTTAATGTATTTTTTTGTTGTTTTACTCAGGAAACTGAGGAGATGATCGCAGATGTACTTGGCGTGGAAGTTTTTAGGCAGACAATTGCTGGTAATATCCTTGTGGGCAGTTACTGTGCCTTCACCAACAGAGGTGGCATGGTAAGAACATGTTTTTCTTGGCTGGTGTTTCTGAGGCATCTTTTGTTGAAGATCTTTTTCTTTCTTGTGTCATCTTTTGTTTTTCTTTTTTCCTTTGGTTCCACTCTAAATCCTAATTTCGAAAACACTTGTGCAGGTTCATCCCCACACATCTGTTGAAGACTTGGACGAGCTTTCAACGCTTCTACAGGTTCCTCTGGTTGCTGGAACAGTCAATCGTGGCAGTGAAGTGATAGCTGCAGGCATGACGGTGAATGACTGGACAGCATTCTGTGGATCAGACACCACTGCCACAGAACTCTCAGTTATTGAAAGTGTTTTCAAGTTGAGGGAAGCTCAACCTAGTGCCATTGTGGATGAAATGAGGAAATCATTGATTGACAGCTATGTCTGAGCAAAATATCTGTGCTAGTCCCATGAATAGGTGCTGTTTTCTTTCTTGTTAATTGTTTTAAAACAAAATATCTTTTTAAATTCTTAATCATAAGAATTCTGGTGTTGCCAAGTTGTATAATTATGTTGCCAAGCTGTACAATTTGTTATAACAAATGTGTTTTGCCTCTTTTCTTCCCAAAAGTATCATGTTTTTAGTTTGTTTTCATCCTGCTTGTAGGAGTTGGTTCCTAGTTGCTTGAATGCATTGGATGGTTTGGAATTGTGTGTAATGGTCTGAAACCAATCCAAATCAGTCTTGACTTGAAAAGTAGTGGATTTGGTTTATCTGGGCTAATTATGTTCTTATCTTAGGTTCAATGTGATCAGTTGGATCATATGTGCTATTATCTGTTTGCTTTCCAGTGGTAAATAGATCTACAAGGAGAAAGCCTGTCCAAACCATCATCAAGATTCTTGCACTAGTATTTTCCCCCCATTCAGGACTTCAGATTTCTTGCATTGTGCATCATGTTGTAGCTTCTTTTTGAACTCTGTACATGAGGTTTCAGGGCCACTAGATGTCTCGGCTTTTTCCCGGTTAAATTCCTACTTCATTATGTTGTTGCACGCTCAGATTAAATCCCTGTTTTGCTGACTCCTGTTTTCTTCCACCGATTTGTTTAGTTTTTAGTACCCGAACCCCTCATCCTATCCCATCTTCAATGCTTTCATGCCATTTGATTTGGTGTGCCAATTTTCTTATTTTAGTACATTAAATGGCAAAAATGTTAGAATCAGACAATGACACTGGCACAAGAAAAGTACCATGTAGGATAGAATCATTTGAGATACTTTATCTTAGCTTCGAACCTTATGCCTTAATAAGAGGGTACATGCTTGCTAGTTTCTACTACCAAAGTTACAAACCAAATTTGTTAAAAAAAAGGATTACTTACACTAACATCTCCCAAAGGTTGTTGTGTTTTTACAAAGTACTCTAAGGTTTTGGAAATTACACTAACACCCTTTGAGGTTTCAAATTGCTTTACAAAATCCATTCTTTTAATTTTTCGTTAAAAAATAGATGATTTCATTATAAAAAAATAAAAATCTTCAAATGACAAGATTAATTGTAATGATTAAACTCGAGGAGTTTTTTTGTGTCCAAGTTTGGAAGGGCAAGGGAGGTGGGGTGGGCACAATGTCGGGTCAACCCGATCGAACCATCCAACCCGATATTAGAGGGTTGATTGGCCTAATAATGAGCGATTTTTGAGTTCAAAAAATCATAAACCGCTTTGTATAAGTTGGAATTATGAGTTAACTCAACTGAACCGCCCACTAAGTTCATACAAGGGTTGGTTTGGGTTGGGTTGATCTAACGATGAGCGAGTCATAGATTCAAGAAATCATAAACTATTATATATCTAGTTGAGTTACGAGTTGCGGACCAAAACTAACCTAACCCAATCCATGCCCACCCTTGAGAAGGAGAGAGACTCTTATGTAAGTTGAGTTACGAGTTGCTCTATCGATTTCCCATTATAAGTAAGTTTTTTTTTTTTAAAATTTTTTTTATACCACTGAACTATGAACCGGTTGACAATCAGGCTTCAAGAGTTAAATTTGTCATTTAAAGAAATTCTATTGATGATATCAACA